AATACTTTGCCATTTTCTCGATTCTTGATTTTGGCGTTTTGAAGAATGGAAATTCTCGGAAATTCAATTCTTGGAATTTTAGATAGACTATGAATTTCGGCCTCTATGGCCGATATTCATAGTCGATTCTTATTTCAATATCATCTTAAGTGTTGTCTTAAGACGCTAATACGGCTCTGTGATTGGTTGAAAACACATTAAAATTACACTTAAGATGATCTTAAATATCAGAACGGACCATGAATACTGGCCTATGAACTATCTCTCGATCGCAGCGCTGCGCACCGGCGGAAGCGTCAAACTGCAGTGCCGGGCGTCCCCTAGCGTCGCCTCGCGCAACTGATCGCCGCAGCAGCGCCCCGCTCGGGGCGTGCGGACACTCGCGTCGATCAGAAATGCAACCAGATGCAACATGTCGCGCCTCGCTCGACTGGGATAGATAGACAGGCTGTTCGCGTGCCCCGTCGATCTCTCGCCGTTCTCCGCGCGCTTCGTAGCCCCTCAGTCGTTATCGCGATCGCCGACGTCCCGCGTTCGCGTATCTTCGACGTCCCGCCCGCGATTACGATGTCGATCCGCGAGCCGACGTCACGCGTGAACGACGTCCCATCGCGGAAGCGAACGTAACCTCCCCGACAGACAATGAACCGCCCTGTTCCCGAGGCATTCTAATCCCGAGGGAGACGGCGAGCTCGTGGCGTCGAACGGACGTATTCGACTGGTTCCCGAGCTGATCGGTCAACATGGGTCTGCTGTTCGCGAAGCTGTGGAGCTTCTTCGGCAACGAAGGTGAGCATCGCGAATTTGCCTGCGATTAGTCACCCGTCCCCGTCCCTCCGCACCTTTTGTCCGCGCCCGCCGCGTACGCTTGTGATAACACGTGCGGGATTATCGTGCGCCCGATCGTCAGGCACTCGCGACGCTCGCGGCCCAACTTGATCGTGGCAGAGTCGGTCGCTCGGGTGTTCGAATGCTCGTCGATCGGAGAGTACTCTGGGTCTACGATTAAACGCGAACGCTTCACTCAAGTGTCGTTTTAAGCGTTCTCGCTCTTTGCCAGTCGCCAATTTCACCGAGAAGCCGCGCGTGTTGGTGAATTGGACGACACACCTCCTGGAAACTCTATGCCAACATTGGCCTACTTTCTCTAGTCATTAACATATGCTGCCAAATTGCACTCTCTTAGTATCAACGAGAACTTGTCGCCTGAATTTAAATTCTTGTCTGGAGATTTCTACTCCACTTTCACCGAATTTTATCCTTCGTATCCTGAGGAGTGCAAAGTTCAAAGTGGATCTTAGTAAAAATGCAGAGCTTGTAGTCGATCACACTGGCAAGACTTGAATAGTTTAGTCTACTACATGTAGAATACTATGTGTAAACTTGTAGACTTTCTACTTGTGGAATAGACTATTCAAGTCTTGCCAGTCTGATCGACTACAACCTCCGCATTTTTATTTAATTTTACCACTGGTGACTACCCTATACGAATACTTGAGCTCGTTAGATTTTAGTTTTGCATTACTTTCTGCAAGAATTTCTCGTATAAAAGTGTACAAAATTTTTTCTACGAAATTTGTCAGAATATTGCAGAGTTTGGTATCTCTTTTCAAAAGATAGTGATACAAATATGAATGCTGCCTGTATCTTTCCCTGGAAAAATAATGAGTGGATCTTGTGTCTACATCTAAAATCAAAGGAATAGAAGAAATGGGTCTCTTCACTGAATAAATTGAAAATTTATCTGTATCTTTAGAAAGGAGTCAAGATACCAAGCTCTGCAAGTGTAACTTTATATGGCAATCTAAGACTTCCAACAAGTGTCTCAGTCGTAATTACTATTGCCTGAATAGAAGTTCGTTGCTTTCAGAGCATAAAATAGTCATGGTCGGTTTGGACAACGCCGGGAAGACAACGATATTGTATCAGTTCCTGATGAACGAGGTTGTCCACACGTCTCCGACCATCGGGTCCAACGTCGAGGAGGTCGTGTGGAAGAATATTCATTTTATCATGTGGGACCTGGGCGGCCAGCAGAGTCTGCGGGCCGCGTGGTCCACTTACTACACGAACACAGAGTTCATCATCATGGTCATAGACAGCACTGACCGAGAGAGGCTCGGTGTGATTAGGGAGGAGCTGTACTCGATGCTGAACCACGAGGAATTGAGCAAGGCCAACGTTCTGGTCTACGCCAACAAGCAAGACTTGAAGGGCAGCATGACCGCCGCCGAGATTTCGAGGCAGTTGGATCTGACGTCCATCAAGAAGCACCAGTGGCATATACAGAGCTGTTGCGCCCTCACGGGAGAGGGGTAAGGGCGTTAGCGATCTGTGCACTTTTTTCTAGTTCGAAAAGAGAAGTAAGATCTAACGTGAACGACAATACGAAATGTTTCAGGCTGTACCAGGGGCTGGAGTGGATCGTCGGACGTTTAAAAAAGACATGACGTACATTATGAGAGTCGTTTATGAGTTTAACAAAATATCCAAAATGTAAAATATGTTATCGAGATAAGTTAACTATGGTAACACACTTTGACGGTTATACGAAAGAGGGGAGCAGCGCGGACGGTCACATTTCGTTAGTCATTATTTAAAGTCTCCTGGTATGACCCTCAAAGTGCATCCGGTCACCTTATTGCCGCAGCAAATGCTTGAGGAACGGGTGGACGGGTAAATTTAGCTATTTAATTGGCTGCTCACGCGATAAGAAGGAAGTTTGGTATTGCTGTACGTGACACAACAAACTTCAGCTCGTTTACAATGATCAGTAACAGCGATAAGGGAAAACGATGATTAGTGGAAATGTACAAAGCGAAATATTAAGCGTATACTGAAAGGGAAGATAATCATGTTTTGCGTCCATATATACAAAATGTACACTTGGTTAAATATCATAGTTAAATGGCCATTAAACATAGTGACAAATATCTAATTTAAGCCATTAAAAAGAAGAGGATATCGATTGCTTACGCGAATTATGTTGTCATTTGCGTGACAAGAGTGCGAGACTTCTCATCCCGTCCACCTACAGTAAAATTCTGCAGTAAAACAGGCAGGGAAAATAGATGAGGGTGGCAACTATTTGTACTCGGTTGACATACAAGAGCGCAACGGAAGTGCACCTGTGTATATAGTTTTTTATACTTCTCGTTAAGAAGGCGAGCTCTGTAAAAAAAAAAAGAATCAATGCTGAACGAGAGAAAGCAGATTTTACGACATTTCCGTACGTAAAGGTCGAGCAGGTTCATAGTGAAATAAATTGGATTGAAGAAACTTGTCAAGACAGAACGTGAAAACTGCTCTGTGATATGTGAATTCAGTTCTGAGACAGTTGTTTGCCGAATGGATCACGTAACAGATATACGGCTGACGTGACGTGCGAAAAAGGAAAACAACGAAGGATCAGTAGATAGGCTGATAAAGCCCTAAGTGGGAAGCTAACGATATCCTTTTAGCATGCAACATGTGTAATATCGCGACAGGTGAATGGGAGCTTTCAATCAAAAAACTCGCTTGTTGTCTCATTAATTCGCTTAACGATCTCAATCTGTTTCCGTTTTATTTTCCTTGGCAGTGAGGAACCTTATAAGTTTAGTAATCGACATAGCTCATTACTGTAACTGTACTAAGTGACGTTATTGTCTAAGGCGCGAAGTTTTAGTTATTTAAGAAAAACGTATCTCTTCCGCGTTCCATTCACCCGCGGTTACTGTGCACCGCCAGGATGATGGATGTACGGACGAAAGTCCGACACAAAGCAATTACCTTGTCTCCAACTCTGACAGCTGTCTCTCGTCTTTGCTTTATTTAAAATGTAAAGACTTTTATGTAGCGTTAAATACTCCAATAGGTATAATGCATTAATTATCATAGCTTTTAAAAGGAAAATTGTCAGTGTGTGCCGAGGCCTGTTATACAATACGTCGTTTGTCACTGTCAGATGTCGAGGACGTAGCCGATGGTCCAATGAGGAAATTAATTTTTTTACTCATTGGACCATCGGCTACGTCCCGACATCCGACAGCGACGTATGACTAACTGTATAACAGGCCTAAGAGATCGATGGGTGTACACAAAAATTACTGTACAGGCGTTGTCAACATGATAGCGCGGAGGGGTATAAATGCCGTCTAATGCCAGAGTGAGATCCTAACACTTAAAGGTTAACGCTAGCTTTCTCATATTGAGAAACGAGTTCTTAAATGTTGATGACACATAAAGAGTTGTATCTCCCGTGTACATTGTTTGCTCCTCGAAATTCTATGCGGGATATTATGCCGAATCTACGCTCGTCAAATTTATCCACGGACGTGTCAGTCTCTTCTATTTAACTGTAATTGTGTAAAAAATAAATTTCTGGAATATGTGCATGCGTGCGAGCGTGTATGTGCGAGTGTAAAAGTACAAGACAGGTTTTTGACGCATGTTTATGTTGCCGGAGTGAGCGCGCGCGTAAACAAAAAAAAATCGTAATTCGCTGGTTTTGTAGATTACACGGTTCGACCTACCTGTCGAATGTATCGAAATAACGATTACGGAAATCGATCAATTCTGATTTATTGGTCTTTATCTAACATAATTGTATAATATAAGCCAGGGAGACCTGTAAGACTTTAAATGAATAACAAAGGCTAAAAGTATGGGATGTCAAATAAATTAAAAATCAGTTTCTATCGATAAGAAACATACGGATCTGCTCTATTTTGTTTTCTACGATAATCCCATTCTACTTTCTAATTCTCTCTTCGTGTTTTGCATTTCGCTAGTTGTAAGTGATACATACAGGGTTTTATTGTCTTTAGATTAAGCATACTTCGGTCAGCGTTAAAATTTACAACACCCTACTGAATATCGCTCCAAAGTCTCGTTAAATTTGATCCAAAGCTTTCCGGGATTTTCGATAGAGTTGGAGTATTCAGCGATAGAAATCGCAGGCTTTCAGAACTACTCGATTGAGCGAGACATTCGCGATGCTCCGTAAATCCAAATCTCTCGAAAGAGGAAGGATCTGTCAGCCACGGTTACCTTTTGATCCATTTATTTTCACATTCGTTATAAATAATGTATGCACACACTCATTCATTCATTCTTATAACCGTGGGTCCACCACTGGTCAAGCTCCTTAATTTTACACTGAAACGTGGTTTCTCTCCGCAGTGCGACCGAGCAGCAGCACCTCGGCCGCCCGATGAGGCTATAAACGCTATTTTTAAGTCTGCTTGATCACTCTCTGAATCATTGCTCGCTGTTAAGTATTTCGCAACTACTGCAACTCGCGCGCAGCAACAGTATTTCTTTCGCCATTCTACAATCAGTTAGAATGAACTTCCTGAGGGAGGTGAGATAGTAAACTAATGGCCGGGAGATCTACTGTCTGAGCTAATTGGCACACGTTCGCCACTTGGCGTTCCGTTGCCGACTATTGCCTTGAAAACCTATCCTCTAACCGCGAACATTTGATACCGTTTCTACCGCTGGAAAATCCGTTCAATTTACGAAGGAATTCGCCTGATTGAAAGAGAAATCCATGATACACACCCGGGCAGTGCACTACTCGTGTGACGAGGCAAGACAACGTTACGGTTTCTAATTCACATTATTGCATATCCGCAACAACGTAAAAGTTGTCGGAATAATGTTCAATCTGAATTAGACTATCTTTTAGCCGCCTGAACGTTTACATTGTTTTACACGATGAATCTTAGAAGTCGCTATTTTCCACTGCCTTTGCATCGCTGAGCTAACACATTGACTATTCGCTGTAAATTTTGAGCCGTTGCGTGGCTGCTAATTTCCAGCGATAGTCGCCGTGTTGCATTGCATTGAGCGATAACTTTATTTACAATAATGCCTTACCTATTTCTGACGCGTTTCTCTATCTTGTGTGTTTCTATAAATAATAAATTCCAGAAGACACCTTTTAGATATTCAAGAGACACGTAGAAATGTCGGAAAATCTCGAAACTTAGACGTCTAAAAGCCATCCCCTGGACCTCTTGCGCTATCTTGGGTTTCCTCGCAATTTTGGCAGTTTTCACTATTGGACCAATCTACGTTTCTACTTATGTAAGCAGCTACGTTGCGAGAGCAACTTGTCCCGTTTAACTTTTACTCGCGATTGACACTTCGTAAAAATCACACGCTTAAAACAGTTCTTTTAATTACACTGTCAATTAATCAATGTCAATTATATTATAATTATCATAATTATATTATAATGTGTAAGTGTAATTACTAGATCTGTGTCGTCGCTTGTATTTAGAAGGCTATCGACAACAGGAAGAGATCTAACACAAACTCTGCCTCGTTGATACGGGACATTGATGTGTCTGCTCATAATAATTCTACATTTAGATAATACATTATTAGACGTAATTATTTGTCGTGTTTAATACCTAGCCTTGTGTCTCGTTCATTCTCTCACTCATTCTCTCCCTCACACTTTCGCGCTCTCGCACTCTCATTCGTTTGATAAGGCGTGTGCTCGTTGAGGTGTCTCGAGGTCGGTATCAAAATGATATCCTGTTAAAATTTCTGACGTCGCGATCGATGCTCAAAGCTCGAGGATCGGGACGACGAGACTTCGAGGTGATGTTGATGATTGATCATTGATCCAGTGAGAGACGGTCCTTAAGCCTTGACGGCCTTCATGAGGAGTTCGGTACTGAGGGATTTAGGCCTCTCGATAGGCAGTCCTAGGGCGCGATCCCAAACGAGGGAGGCGAGCACGCCCAACGCGCGCGACACACCAAATAGGACAGTGTAGTAGTTCATCTCCTTCATACCGTAGTACTGCAGCAGCACGCCCGAGTGCGCGTCCACGTTCGGCCATGGGTTTTTCACCTTGCCGGTCTCCAGCAAGACCGGCGGCACCACCTTGTACACTTGCGCAACGAGCTGTAAAGGAGAAAACGTTGACATTAATATCAAAACTTAACTCGGAATTAAATCAGAATATTGCTAATTCCGAAATATGGAATGTGACTATACGCAAGAAAGAGAATTAAATACTTTACAAGATTTTAAATTAATTTTTTATATCCACGGCAACATTCTTAAATGTCTAAAGAAGCGAATTAATGAGTTCCTTCATCATTTCGAGCAGAACAAAATCTTTCTACTATATTTAAAACACTCTGCAACGGAACGCGTCATTTACCTTGAACAACGGATCGTCCGGCAAATGTTTCAGCGCGAACTCCCTCTGGCAAGTGTACCTCGGATCGGTCTTCCTGAGAACGGCGTGTCCGTAACCGGGCACTACCTGACCGCTCTTGAGCGTGTTCCAGATGAACTCCTTGAGTTTTTCGTCGCTCGGACTGTCGCCGACCTGGCCGCGCAGCTTCTCCAGCCACACCAGCACTTCCTGATTCGCCAAACCGTGCAGCGGCCCGGCTAGACCGTTCATACCGGCGGCGAAGGACAGGTACGGGTCCGACAAGGCGGATCCTACCAAGTGGGTGGTGTGAGCGGACACGTTACCGCCCTCATGATCCGAATGGATCGTCAGATAGAGACGCATCAGCTCGATGAACTGCGGATTGTCATAGCCGAGCATGTTGGCGAAGTTCCAGGACCAGTCCCTGCCGGCATCGACGGAACCCAGACCCTTGCCGCCCTTGTAGATGTTGCGGTAAATGGTGGCGGCCACCACCGGCAGCTTGGCAATCAGATTCATCGAGTCCTCGTACACGGATTCCCAGTACTTGCTCTTGTGCACGCCCTTGTTGTACGCCTTGACGAACTCGCTCTCGCTGTTCAGCAGCGTGATCGCCGCGGAGAACTGCGTCATCGGGTGTAGGGTTTTGGGGAAGTTGTTGAGTGCCTTGACCACATGCTCGGGCAACGAGCTCCTGGATGCCCATTCCTGCGAGATGGCCCGCACTTGCGCGTCCGTGGGCACGTCGCCGGTGATGAGCAGCCAGAAGAGACCCTCCGGGATCGGTTCCGCGCCACCAGCCCCCTTCGGCAGGAGCTTCTGGCACTCCGGGATCGACTTGCCGCGAAAGCGGATGCCCTCCTCCGGATCCAGCACCGACGGCTCCCACACAAGGCCCTTGATGCCACGCATGCCACCGTACATCTGCACCAAAAAGAAAAGCATATTAGTCAATTGTGCAACAATCAAAGTGAAAATACTGGATAAATGTGCATAAGACCTCTAAAGCTCGCAAGTCTACTCTAATTAAATTCAATAATGTTAATAAATCATTAATACATGTATTAATTCATGTATTAATATTCAAATTTCTCGATGATCTCATTTGTGGATATCGCTAATATTTGTCATTTATTAATTAACGCTGATGACATTCTGACAGCTAAGTCATATTTAAAAAGTTATCATTAATTTATCATGCGGAGATCGATGATAAGTGAAAGCACGCAGAAAGCGATGAATGAGACACAAGTGAGATCGTCACATGCGAGCCGGCGGCTCATTCGATGACGATTAATCGTCACGCGCTGCATTCTGCTGATAGGTGGCAAAAAAAAAGACAAATTACGCTGCTTATTGACGCCGTGGCCGCATGCGACGATCAAAAATTCAACGCGTTACGGTTATCATAATCGCATAGCAGGCATGCGGGCCTTATCGAGCTGGTAACAAATAATAGCTCGTCGTATCTTTCCACATCGGAATTCGATTATTATAAATTATAATACGGTTATTATAATTGTTAATGATACCTGCGAGTATTTGTATCACTATAACCGCGACACAACTAAATTCACCCACGACAAGAAAAATATTAATTGAAGACCGCAGTGCAGGCGAAAACTCTTTTCCAAGGAAGCCAAGCAATTTTGGTAGAAACAATTCTTTCTAATCAAATCATTTAAAACCAGCGAAAATACTTGAGATTGAGTTATCATGACGACACTTTACGATAATAAAAGGAATTAGCCAATTGAGCGAGGCTTATTGTCGCCAGTGGTAATTAAACATGGGGAAGTCCTTTTTAAAAATCGACCAAGCTGGCATAAGAGCGATACATATTTAAGTTGCAACGTTTCGACCTCTTATTCGGGTCCGTTTCAAGTGCAATCTGGAAACATATTTTAAAAGTACAAAGGGAAGCTTAGCTCGCAAGTGTGGGAGAATACGGCAGTGCGTACCATGTCGACGGTGACCTCTCCGACTTTGGTGGATCCATGGTTCTTACGAAAGGCTTTGACCCGCTCCTGCTCCTTCGGGATCCTATCAGTGAGAACCCTTTTGAGATCCGTGGACGCATCGGTGAGCTGCCGCACGAAGACCGTCGACGTTATTTTCTGAAAGGAAAAGAAACTTTGACTAATAGCTGCTGAGAACAGGCCAGAGGGAAGGATCGAAAGCCGGTAATCTCAGATGTACGTCACAGGCGAGAATTGTTCGAACATATTAAAATTGAGCACGGCAGAAATTACATTATGCAGCAATATCTTGTTGACAAAAAATCTTATCTCTTTTTTTTTAATACATGGATTTCATTAAGTGTAAAGTAATTATGTACTCAATGGGGACGGTTTAATGAGATTGCTTGACAGAAAATAGATGGTAAAAAATACTGTGCTGGACAAAATTTTACACGCGAAACTTTGAATTCCTTTGGAAAAGGAACGGGAAGATCTCTCGTTCAACCTAATAAATTGAATTACGCAATTTCTGCGACTTTCGTTCTCTATCAAATATTCAACAGGCTTGGCATTTAAGATAAACGCGGCTTTCTCGAGTCTTTCTTGTCAAGTTATTTCGCAAAACATAAACGTCTGGCAATTTTTTTTTGTTTTCCGTTCTCATAAAATGCGTGACATACGCATTGTGTAAAGAATCGTCACGATGGAAGACACGCGCGGATTACGTAAAAGCGACGAACCGTTAACAATTGCTTTGTCAACGGTGCACGCGCGAGCCTGAGGTGGGTTGGTGAATTCGCAGTGGCAAATTACGATTTCGTAACTAGGACAGGAAATGTGTAAAGAACGATCGCGATTTTTTCACAGAACAGTTTCGTGCAATTTTAATGAAATACACAACATACGATCGCGACTTTTACGCGACGAATTTAATATTTTACTTTGGGGACGATGCTATATATTTGTCGACATCTATTTTTCTGAGAATGAAAAATAAACGGTAGCAGATCGATTTATCGATATCCTCATATATTCGCATTTATCCATAAAAATAAAAATTTAATGAACGGCGAGAGTCGAAGTTATCGAAAGAAGTAATCTTCAAAGTCCTTCTATTAACTTCTAGTCGATTGCGTTGCCGGTTGATATCAAAGACGATTTCAGAGAATGCGATAATTGTATTATACGTGGGATGTCACTATAGAATTATGGAGCGGCACGTTATTTTTTTTCCTGCTAAACTCGTAATCACGTAATAAATTATGCGCGACGAGGCAAAAAAAACCCGTAATCGCTTCTCATCTGGACACGCACCATCGAACGTCACGAGAAAGAACGTCAGATAAGAACGAGATCGCGAGGTCTCGGTGCCCGAGGTCATTATCAAACAGATGCGTGCCGTTCGCGGAAACGCATCGGCCAGGATTAATTCATCACGGTTCGTTCTTGAACGTAGGATAAGCATTTATCATTATCGTCTTTAACGTGATAAACGCCGCCTCAATTTAGAGCTTGGCCGGATGTCGGGGCCGGAAAACCGGAGATTCGGGATTCGCTCTGCGCGCGAGTCGCGACAAATATTTATAAATCGACGGCAGTGCTCGTGATAATGAAACCGAACAGCGGTAACGATGACAAAAGCATAGTACAACTACTGTAGGTCCACTCCGTCATTTGTTTCGTTTTCGTCGATCCCTTCTGCGCATCCGACATTGTTCTGGGCGAGAGAGAAAAGTCCCCGAGGAGAAATGAAAAGTCAAGATGACGCCAATTTGATGTCATATCGATCAAAATGTAACATAAATTTGGTTAATTTAACATCAAACTGCCGTCACCTTGACTTTTTATTTTTCTTTGGGTTGTATGTGATGTAGTGTGGCTTTGACGAGTACACACATACACACGTCGCTGGATCCTGCCCGGGTTGTATGGCGGAATACCACCATATGATCGGGGCCGACAGAGAGTGGACCTGCTACACCCTCAGAAAGGATTTCCGTTACCGAGGCAAAAAATATTCTTGGCGCATTTATATTTCTCACAACCTCATTTAGTATACACATAAGACAATGTCAAAATAAAATCAATAATTCTTATTCACCTCTATCGAATTAAAAAAGATCGACTCACTATATTGGGACGGGAGTAACTTATATAAATGTAAGTCTATATATTCTTGCGTTTAGAATCAACTTTCCCTCCATCTTACAACGCACGAAGTTGGCGCCACGATATTCGACAAAAGACGGTACACACTATTTTCTTCTAGATTAAAAAAAATTTTCATTCGAGATCAAAATATTCCTTTCTCTATAATAAATATGATTGACGCTATATTCTATTTTATGATACATTCAAGTGTAATAGCATTGGATCCGGAAATTTTTCTGTGGTTGTAGTTATTAGATAACGAGCCGCGATCTTCCACCTTTCCTCTGGACATTTCCGTCATAGTATAACGGTTATACTATGACAAAAGTAGCGGTAAAGACAAACGGCGGGGCGCGATACGCGACGGAAATGTCCAGCGGAAAGGTGGAAGATCGCGGGCCGTTATCAACGTATCGCGAATACGTGGTAGCACGCGCGTGCGGGTGCGTGGACACTGGCGGGCCACGTGACTCCGGATTACGGCATGGCACGTTCGCCAGATACCCGAGGTTGCTTAATTCTCTCTTCTTTTTTTTTCGCACGTCAAGCGAAGCGAAAGTCGCGTGATGCGGTCCGGAGCCCGCTCTTATCTTCGCGCAGCGTCGAACGCGATGCAGGCCGTGGAAGCAGAATGCCTTTTTGACGGCGCGACAAGATCGCGGACGTGTGTGTACACAGGCACGTGACGCGGCACTTCACGAGTACCTACTTATTATAATTAAGGCGAGATAAAAAGCGATAAAAAGCGAAGTCAAGACGCGAATATCGACAGCCTCGAAATGTGGAATAAAGCAATTTGTTTTAGTTGAAGAAACAATCGGATAAAAAATTTTCAAGGTATGGAAGAACTTTACAAGGTTTAGGACGCAGAGGATACTTTTTGAGTTAATGCGGGGCTGCTTGTCTTAAACTTTGTTTTATCAGAATTTTTCTTTAACTGATTGTGAGTCAAATAGCCGCCCACCTTATCTTGGTCTTTAGATAAGGGATAGATTAAAGGATTGCTCATGTAAATCAATTAATTTTAGCAAGCATGTTATATGTCTTTAATGCACGACATGCGAGAAATCCTTGTTGCGCTTTTTGTAGTGGCGAGATATTCGAGATGTCCAGATATTATGTTCAGATAACTAAACAGGTGCTTAAGTAATCAGTTCACTGGATAGAAAAGAACATTGCTAGCAATAAGAAAATATTCTGTAAAACCGGACTCTATTTCTTATTACTTTTGTTCGCATCTCTGACGTCGATAGACGGTAATTACTAATCAATTTACTTATTACTAATTGTTTTTCGTCCGTGGCATATCGTTAGGTGTCTTATCAAAGCAGCTGTAACGCGGCAAGTCTGGTTTAAAAGTTAGACTGTCATACACTGAAAGTCCATAACGATTGCTGAGATGTATCTTCCAGAGCAAACTCCACCGGAAAATCATAAATTAAGTCATTAATTTCCCACCATCCTTTCAAAATTATTACAAAACGACCGAGTATTATACAGCGAAATACACTGACAAGACAAAACGAACCTTGACAAAGTGTCTGTCCTTTAAAAAGAAATTACATAGAGAAATGCCACGAATGTAAATTTACGCAAAACACAGAGGTAGGAAATACAGAACAAAAAAAAACAACGCAGCATATCGAGACCAGACTTTCGCGAAGTATCTCGACTAGTTTGAATTAAAATATTACAATTATTATAGTCGATACAAACAAACGCCGAAGAAGACAAACGTTCGTTACACATCGTTAGATTCGTTACTGTTTTAAATGTTAAGACTAATATGATAGCGCATTAACTATCCAAAACCTTTTAAAACCAACATTGCTCGTGAATCTAATTGGCCTATTTAAATTTAAATTTATTACAATTATGTTACGTGCACAATAAATAGATTTGATTCCAAAGTTCAAGCTCTCTTCTTCTGCCCCTCTGAACGGGCGGTCTTAAATTTGCATAAAGAAGAAACCGAGTAGATCGCGCGTCATATGTCGCGTATCGCCGTAGTGCACCTTTAAATTCGAGGGGCTCGGTTCAAAGATCGTTTCTCGCCGCGCGCTCTTATCATCGTCTACCCGATAGCGCACGCTCCACGCTATTTTTTACGTAAACGCGTGGTAACGCGATTACGTAGCGCCGAGGCAATTCGTCCGACGCCGAGGCGTGCACTTGAATGCAATCCCGTCGGCGGCCTTGACCCTTGCATGAGAAGCGCGCGAATAGTGTCCTTTCGACGAGACATTCTCGCGACGTGATCTCGATCAGCGCACGCTCGGAAAAGATTTGGCCAAAGCTTCGCCGAGAGACGACAATTGAGTAACAAGGCTGCTCGATGCGCGACTCGAACAATATATTTTACGCTGTAGCCACTTACTCTCTAAAATTCGATCAGTGGATTATCACTGAAAACAGTGAGTATTCGCTGATTCACACTCTGGGGGAAAAAAAGACAGCAGCCCATTTTGGGGCCCACAATTAGTAATCGAATTATTTGGACTGTACGTAACTCTACTCTGGGAACAATTTTGACCGTGTTTCTTGTAGTTAGGCAACTTAACATTTCGGTTAGTGCCTCTTAAATGAAAATTATCTGTGCGTTACTGAATACCGACAGAACTAATTGAGAGAATTGATTAGTACTTATTACTCTAAAATCTTGGGATATAGATAGAATAGCTAATTGCGATTTTTAGTTACGCGGGGTAAAATTCGTAAAAGATCAGAGTGTTACGAACAATCCAAATAATTCGATTACTAATTGTGGGCCCCAAAATGGGTTGCTAACTGTCTTCCTTTTCGCACAGCAGTCATAAGTATAGCACTGAATAATTCAGTGCTACACTTACCTGTGACTGTTCTCGGTGAAACTGCACTGACAGACTTATAGGCCTGGTTTTTCATTTTCTGGCTAACTAGAAGTTAGTCGATTCTGTGTCTCCTTAGATAATGACATAAACAAAGAGATGGAGAGTAGACTAACTTCTGGTTAACAATTGAGAAAA